CCACATGTGATTATCGGCCAGGCTGGCACAATTAACTAACTCACCTGGTAACTCCTGAACATCACTACAGACGCCACCCTTAGGTCACCTTTGTGGGGCCTTACTTGGCCTACCTTAAGAGTTCCACCTCCTCTGTCTTTCTGAGTCACAGCACCAGTCTCGTCCCTCCCTTGTAGCACTGACTGCCTTTTTGCTGACGTCGCAGGGCCCACCTCTCTGCTTTCCCTGAGCGCTGACATCACTTGGCAGTCTTCTCTGAACCCAATGCCTTCGCCTGGTGCCTGGGTCAGTAAATACTTGTTGAGTGTGCGAGTAGTTGTATGGATTTGTGAGCAATGCAGAGATGTTCCGATCGCTAGCTTGTGTTTAATTGCTATAGGCAGCCAAATCTGGGAAGTAAAAGGAGTTTGTAACTGTAGGCCCAAGTTTTTTTCTTTTCTCCCCCTCTTTAAACCTAGCTAACTTTAATTAGGTTCATACATTCAGAAGACAGAGAACGCTCATGCAAATTAGTACTCTGATGAATGGCTCTGATCATAACTTATGATTTTGTGAATGGTGATTCTCAAAATACTTAGTGGATGGTATAGCACAGTCATCAGCCATCAGAACAGACTCAATAGTAAGGCTGGAGTGAGGGCTTATAGCAGCAGTTCTCAACCTGTGGGTCTCGACCCCTTTGGGTGTCAAACAACCCTTTCACAGGGGTCACCGTATTCATAACAGTAGCAAAGTTACAGTTATGAAGTAGCAACGAAAATAATTTTGTGGTTGGGGGGGTCACCACAACATGAGGAACTGTATTAAGGGTCGTGGCATTAGGAAAGTTGAGAATCACTGTCTTAGAGCCTGCCTAGGGGCCAGATACCACCAATTCTGTAATGACTGGATTATGGGGAGGGACCTTGGGAACAGGGGGAGTGGAGGTAGAGAGACTGTCAGTGTGGTCACCATCAGTCAGGGTCCGACTGCACAGCAGCTCACAGCAACAGCAATTAGCCGCTGTGCTGTGTGCCTGAGCAGTATCAGCCATTTTGAGGGCTGCCCAGTGGGAACACTTTCTGAACTCTTGCCACGGGGGTGTGGGGGGGAGGGGTTGCGTTTTGCTGTTTCTCCTGACAGCATGCCAGCCTGGACCAGTGAGCCGGGAACCAGGCCTCTCTTCTGGCTTTGTCACTTCACTTGGGTGCCCTGGGGCAAGCCTGATAGCTCCCAGAGGATGAATAGTGTGTGGTTCTAAATTGCATACTGTTCCTTGATTGAGTTGGGCTGCTAAGAGGAACCTTCAGAAGGTACCATCTATTTTGAAACAAGAGAGCAACCTGTCAGGATTTTTTTAGATCCACTGATTTGCATCACGGTTAGTGAAGCTTTTCTATTTTCACTCACTTTTTAATCATGACGAGGTTTCTAAAATGTTGAACAAAAGTGTTTATGAATTTATTAAACAGATGGAGTATTTAAAAACTTCACTTCACTTGGTTTATATTATTACCTGTGCTGTTTCATTTTGAGGTTTGTGCCCTCGGTGAGACCTGTAGTCTTGTAACCACAAGTGTAAAGTATTTTGTCCGTGGTTGGGTTGCATTCAGGTCTTGGGACTGTTCACATTAGCTGTAAAATACCCAGGTGTTTTAGCAAAGGTTTGAATTCTGCTTTGCAAGACTAGTTGTAAATTGTGGATAAATCTTAGAAGTTATCACTTAAGAACCATGAGTTTCTGGGGGTCAACTTAAGACATCTCAGTGGTCATACATACCCTTAGGGGTTTTTCCCCTAGCCCCATGCCCACCCACCAAAGGCTGCTTTTCAGGTCACAGTTCTTCCTGAGTAGCAGACATGAATTTCTTCTGCTGTGCCTTTGTTCATTTCGTGGTGATTTAGGATTTATTTTCTGCTCATTTCTACAAAGAGCTTGAGGCTACAACGATGTCTCCATAGACTCTGGGCTCTCTGCTTTCCCTCTGGTCGTTGTGTGATCCTGAGAATTAATCTAGATGAACAGGGAATTGAAGAGTAGAGCGAGCGTTAAACACACCGACCATATTTAACTTGCTACAGCCAGAGATTTATAGCTTGGTTATTGACATGGTTAGGACATAGCTGTCGCTGTTTCCCGAGTATTGAAATTAATGCCTTTGTTGCCGAGCTGTGGCATAGGGACTGAAATAGACACAGTCTATCTACCAGGCCACTGAAGTGCTGTGATTACCATTAAGTGTCTGTACGTGCCGGCTGGCTCTCCGGGTTGTGGTCTGCACCTTGCGTCCCTCCCTTCCAGCCATCAGGACAGCGTGGCACAGTAGAAAACACCCTGGTGTTGGTGTCCGAAGGCCAGTTCTGCTTATTAGCTCTGTGACCTTAGGCTAGCCACTTAATCTTACCAAAACTCACCTTTCTGATCTGTGAAATGGAACGCACTACGCAGAATTAGCTGAGCAGTTTGGAAATACCACGGGTGTCTTTGTTGAGGTTCTTTTGGTTTCGAGCTGCAGACACATTCAGAGTTCAAGGGAAGCCACAGAGAAAAAGGCTGTGTTTCTTAAGAACAGTCTCATAGATGCCAGGGAAGAGCTGAGCAGCCAGGCCTGGGCGAGGGTGGAGACTGGGTTGACCCCAGGGTCTCAGCATCTCAGCAATGGATGCTGTGGGCTCAAGGGCCCTGTTGTTGACGTGATGGGGACCTGATGTCTCCATCCAAGTCTCCAAGTTCCCGGGAGAGAATCTTAGTGGGTGCACGAGGGCTCAGGGGTTGACTCACAGAGGAAAGGGTGCTCTCTGGGATTCACTTTTATGTTTGAGGGAGTATTCTCAAGGGGGCAGTTAATTAATGGTGGCAAGCTGGATGGTCACCCCAAGGCATCTTCCCTTGTGCTGCAGATGTAGTGTTTGACACACAGTAGATGGGTGGCAAATGGTCGGTGTTCTGTGGGCTTGTGTCTTGGTGGTGGTGATGGTGGGGGTGGCATTTGGGGAGATGCCAGGGGAAGAGGAGGGTGATTGCTTCTGCTGAGCAGGAGCTTCGCATCACGTGTGTCTGGATAGCCTGGCCCTCTGCCTCTCTGTCAGTGGACGGAGGCCTGTTGGCTTCTCAGCCTTGCCGAGGGAGCCAAATGACTTCATTCTAATGGGGCTTGATTCAATGCAGGGAATTGGTGATTGTTGAAATGGGACCCAAATGGCTCCAAAGAGTTCATTTATTTAACATGGGTGAGCAATTTGCTTCTAGGAAGATGTTGACTCACTCTGCCTTCTATTATGCAAAACATCCACAGGAATTTCTACCCTTAGGGTTCTGCTCAGACCCTGTTGGTGCCTCTCGTCCTAGTAAATCATCCGTTCAGCATGTGTGCCAGACCCTGGGCTGCTGCCTTCAAGAAGCCCTCGGACCACTTGGGGAGGGCCAGCCGGCTGCAAACAGGTGGATGGGACCCTGGAGCTTGGTTCTGGTGGGAAGGTGAGAACAGGGGCTGTGGGGGCCTGAGGAAGGCACCACTCTTAGTCAGTGGACATGCTGGGGAAGCTTTAGAGGGATCCAGTAAGGTCCCCTCGAGAGGAGCGAGGGATGGAACAGACTCCCAGAAGGAGGTTGGAGTTGCTTCCCGAAACTCAAGTGGAGGGATTTTCCACTTCCCCTGAGATGGAGGGCCCGGAGGAATGAACAGAAGACAGATGATGGGAAGGACCTGAGGAGAGCTGTGGGCTTGGAAAACCTTGCGAAGGGTTGGAGGAGCTGCCAGAAAGAACAGAAGCCCACTGCCCGTTGGGGCCATAAGAACAGTGCTACTCATGTTGAGCACCCAGTGCTTTGCATCCTATAGGGGCAGTGAGCTCACCTTTGGTCCTCAGTTTCTTCATCTCTGTAATGGGGCTAGTAACACCTACTATGTTCCCTGGGTTACTGTGAGGGTTAAGTGAAAGCAGTTAGCCTAGTCGCTGGCAGTGCTCAGTGCACGGACATTCCAGCATCCTTCTCTTGCTGGCCTCTGTGTCCCTGACCCAGCCTCCTCTCTGCGATTCTCTGACTGGGGACAGTGGGAGCTGCAGGAATCCTGCATGAGGGTGTGACTGCTTACAGTATTGGGGAGCTCACTGTGCCATTTCTAGCTGTCAAGGTGACTAATTTCTCATGGCTGCACTAAGTGGTTGAGCACTTCAGAGACCTATAAGCAGCAGGCGGTCCTTTGGTGGTTTGTTTTTTTTTTGGTTCAGGGCTCCATGCTAGACAGTACTCTCTTCAGTCGGGGTTCTAACCCAAGATCTGTTTCTTGAAAACAGCAAAAGCAACAGCAACAAAAACCACTTAAATGCTTATGTATCAGACTATAAAGGACAGCGAGGATGCTGAGGGTGCAGTGGTCAAGTGCTCTGCTACTAACCAAAAGGCTGCTGCTTACGGCCACCCAGCAGCTCTGCGGGAGAAAGACCTGATGATCTGCACCTGTAGAAATCACAGCCCAGGGAACCCTGTGCTACTGCTGCGTGTAGCTGGCTCATAGCGGCCCTGTAGGATGGGGTAGAACTGCCTTGGTCTCCTGGAAATAAAGAGGCTAAAACTTGCTTCCTGTTCACATCACACATCCCCTGAATTTTACTCCTGCTACAAACCCCTGTCCTAGAGGTATCTTAGCTCTGAGCACATATTCCCAAGTTGATTGAAACTCACATACTCCCAAGTTGATTGAAACTCACATACTCCCAAGTTGATTTCAACTCACAGCAAGCTTGTAGGACAGAATAGAACAGCCCTGGAGGGTTCCCAAGGCTGTGACTCTTTTGGAAGTAGACTGCCTCATCTTTCTCCCTTGGGCTAGCTGATGGATTTGAACCACCGACTTTGCAGTTATCAGTCAAGGGCTTTAGTCACTGAGCCACCAGGGCTCCTTGGAGAGATTATAGGTCAATGTGAAACTCAAAGGCTTTCTGCAGCTCTAGTAGCTCCACTGCTTGAAACTCTTCCCCAGCATTTAAGAGAGTGCCCAGCTATGTCAGGAACTGTGTTAGGTGCTTGATTCATGTTAACTTTATTTAACCTTTTTTTTCGTTCTGATTTTGAGATCATCAGACCCACTCACTCTTCACTTAGCCCCCTTTAGAGCAGAACGAGAAAGTCCTTGTCCAGGCTCACACATTGCCATTCATGAGAGTCCGATCTCCCGACTTCCCTAACCTGGCTGTTTGTGAGCGTGGGAACACCTCCTGTGGATGCGTCGGGGTTTCTTTGCAGTTCGTTGCAGCAGACGGCAGCTTGGACAGGAATGGCTCGGTCGCGTTTCTGTGCTCATCTCCCTGTGTCCTGTCAGAGGGGTACGATTTTGCTGTGTCCCGTGACTGGTCATAAACTTGGATAACTTTATGAAGACAGTATGTGTCAGGTGTCTCCACTAGACAGTTAATCTTTTTTCCCCCCCTCTTTATAATGGTGGAAACCATTTCTTTTAGAAGAAGGAAAACAAAATGAATCCCAACGATGTGGAGATGAAAGATGTCCCAAATGTCCAACTTTTCCAAAATGCTCTGCCACTCCATCCCTGCCGTCAACCAGCGCCTCTCCCCATAGCAGAGCCCCTTACGTGCCAGGGCTCTGCAGTTCGCTTCAACAGCTCTGAAGAAAGGACTCACGTGGCTGTGGGTGCTGTTCATCCCACATCTGAAGTTCAAACATATGTCTGGAGCATCCTTTTCCTCCGCAAGGCTGTGGCAGCTGGTGAGATCAGCTCAGGGGACAGACCGCCACTCAAGTCCTAAGAACTGGAGGATAGGCAGAAATGAGCCAGACAGATGCAGAGCCCAGAGCCCAGAGCGAGCAAGTCCCAAAGTCCAGACTAGTCTCCTTGCTTCTGTGCATGCTCAGTCAAAAGGAATGGCTGTGATGGAGGTGTGGCTTTCACCTCCTGTAGACCACTACCTCTCGGAAACAGAGGGTGGGGACTTGAGGCACATCTTCCAGTCTGGTGGAGACTAAGACTCTGTCCCACTTTAACCCTGTCCATTAGCATAACAATTCCCTTGAAAGTGGGATTTTAATCGCCAGTGTAGAGGTTTGAATTTCCAGTGTACCACACAAAGCAGGATGGCTAGAAGGGCCACGTGGAGGAAGGTAAAGCGCAGTAATTATATGTATTTCAGGGGACGGGTTTGGGTTCCCTGAAATCTTGGCACTCTTGAGATTTCCACCCACCAGTTGTAGCACTCAGTGATGTTTCTTAGCCAAATTATTGATTATTATGGTGTTTGGCAAATGGTGACTTTTATATTCCTCTCATTCCTTGTATCTTTGTTAGTTGGCAGTTGAATGTAAGTACACATCTCTTTCCTCATTGATTCATTTAGTTGTGTATATTCCTATCACTATGGGTACATGACCTGCTGTTTTACTCAATGGGTTGTAATCGATCAGTATTATGGCATGATGGGTCACTTTTTATATGGCCTCTCTAATCATGGTCTTGTGACTCCTATGATTGGGTGGTACTGTGCAAATAAGATGTTTAAGTTCATCAAGGGGATTGGACATAATGCTTGTTAATAATGCAAATAAGCTATATGGTACCCTATGGGAATGGGGTCATATAAATAAGGTGTATGGAACCTTAACAAGGGGATTGGTCAGGGTTACCATTTTGCTAGGCTTAAAATAAGACATCTCAGAAGTAGACGGTGGTGGGTGGGGGTGAGATACTCACTACCACCACAGAAAACAGATAGGAGGAGCACAGTGCATCCTTTGAACCTGGGGTTCTAGGAGACTCTACTAGCCCCACTGAGACCCTCCTAGACCTGAGAGACAAGACAGCAGCTAACATTGGAGGTGGTGCAAGGAGAAGCTGCAGCAAATGTGGTAGGCAGCTGGCGGCAGCAGAAACAGGAGAAGCCATCCTGGCCTTCAGGCAGCAGGCTAACTGGCTGAGGTGGATGCCTCCCTGTGTTAGTGGAGCTCCATTTGCCAGCCCATGGAACTAGAGGGTGAAGTGTCTTTGGGCCCTAGGCGGAGTGGAGCAGGGTGTGTCTGGACATGTAATGGTGGAGGTAAAGAGCTTTTCAACAGGTGTCTAGGCTGGGCCAGCCTAAGAGGGCCAATAGGCCAATGGCCAGGGAGAGGCTTTCCTGTGGTGTGGTTGAGATGTCCTGACCAAAGAACTCTCTCCTCAGTTGTTCCTGGCCCTGGTTTGCAACCTGTTACCTCCTTAAAGAACCCCATAATCATAGCGAGTATGCTGGAGTCCTGTGCGAGTCTGTGGTCCCTGCAGCACCTCACTGCTCCGATGAGAGGGCTGTGGAAGGGGTGGTTGGTGTCCGAGCGGGCAAAGGTCAAAGAGAGGAGACGTGTCTGACCTCTACTTCCTAGGAATCAGCCTGTGGCTGTTTCTGATAATGCTTCTCCTCCTCCAGGAGGAGGTCAGACAGGGAGGTCAGGTGCTGCCACCACCCCGGTTTTACAACTATCACTATTTATTTGTCCCAGACTTGACTGGCTGAAGTCACATCAGTGTGGCTTCTGTGCCCTTTTGGCAATACTCCATGTTAATTTTTTCATCTTATCTTCTGGCACGACAAAATGCTATCGACCACTCTGTGACCTCCATTATTTACTGTGCCCTGTTCCTGGAATCAGGCTCTTCTCCAAGGATCCCCGACTCCGCATAGACATATTTACCTTTCCCCTGCTGCGTCCCGAGGATGCACAGCTAGAGGCTGGCAGAAATCCAGCTCCGAGTCCCATTCTCCTCACTCGGTCCTGCATGCCTCCACAGCGCTCTGAGCTTTGTCCCCAGGCTTCAGAGCAAAAGTGAGTGTGTAAAGATCCTCCCTGCCACATCGTGAAGACAATGAGCATCCGCCCCGAGGGCGGTAGTGTCATGATGGGCACGCCGGATGACTATGATGATTCTTTCATTTAAACAGCTGTGAGTGTTCAAAGCCCTGTTCTTGGCCTTGTTTTTGGTTTAGAGATGGCTGGTCATTCCCCACTCCTCCTGTAGGTGGTGCTCTCTGCCTGCGGCCTGAGCCTGAGCCTGGCTCCGGGGCTCACTTCAGTACAGGTTTCAAAACCAGAACTATCCACATATATTGCGTAATCTAAGGATGTGCTCTTTAAACAAAATGTCTGTTGCCTGCTATCATTCCTAGGAAAAGCAGCAGTCAGACTATGAAGAGCTGACTCAAGCTCTAGAGAAAGAACAGGCCATCTATTCCCGCCTGGTGAAGTCTCTGCCGGACTCTGACAGGTAAGTGCTTCTGTTTGCGCATCAGGGACCCGTGTGCGCATGCAGCTCGCAAGACGCCTTGCGTTTCTTGAAGCAGCCAAGCCCCACTGGTTTGCCTAGGAAGCTTATGAAGTGCTTGGACGCGGAACACTTTACTTAAAAATCAGCTAGGCTCCCCCCACCAACCCCCTGCCATTAAAAAAAAAAAAATTCAAATCAAGAGTGGCCTGATCTGCGACATAAAACTTAGAATAATAATAATTACTTAGATTTTAATGGCACTGTATTATACATATAAAAAGTGCTTTCATGTGTGTCATTACATATTAATTCTCACAGCCATTCTGTGCGCTAGGTACTGCTGTGATTCCCTATTGAACAAAAGGCCGTCATTGCTAAGAGAGGTTGTAGAACTTGACCAAGGGCACCCAGAGTGAATGATCCACACACAAACACGTTTCTGCCGTGCAACCCGAGGATTCACAGACTTGCTGGCGCATGATTGGTGCTAGTGAGTTTGAGTGGGCGTGCCTGGGCTGTGGTTGTCCCCACGGCTGTCCCCTACCTCCTCCACCTCTGTGACCATGGGCCAGCTTCTTGTCCCCTGGCCTCTGTCTGCCCACGTGTAAGCAGAGCGTTGGACTCAGATTTCTGACATGAGGACATCACCTCTCTGCACACTGGGATAGTTACAGTTGCAGGATGAGATGTCTAGGGTTTGCGTCAGGACATTGCAGAGTGGAGAGGTAGGTGGGGACGTGAACAGAACGAGGTTGGCCATAACACCTGGTTGTGGGGTGGGTGGGAGCAGATCGGGGTGAAGCGACTCATTATGCCAGTGTGAATTTGTATTCTTTGGTGTATGTCCACGGCTTTCCATAATCAAGTTTTTGTTTTTTTGTTTAAAAACATCTTTCGCTGTTTTCCCCCTGTGCCTTTCTCTCTGTCTCTGAGGAATTGTTCATTGTTCCCTGGTGCTGCCGCTTGCTCTCCCACTAGCGACCCTTGTCAGGAGGCCCCAGCCAACCCTTTGGGAAGAAGGGCACCCTTTGCGTTGTTGTCCCTGTACTGCTCTGCCTCCCATCTAGATGAGCTCCTGAGGGCAGAGCCCTGTCGGTCTGCTCGGTGTCTCCCAGGGCCAGTCACAGGACCTGGTGTGGAGCAGGCCCTTGAATGGCTCAGTGGATGAATGACCTCCTAACACGCATCTTCTAAATTGTGAGCTAATTTTCAAATTTAAAAATCTGAAATGAATTCTGAGAAAATGAAAACATCCTGATGAAATTGTCCTAGAGCCGAGGTGACTCTCTGAATGGGAACCTTTTCAATAAGCCTCAGCTGCTAGTTGGCTTCCCTGGGAGGAGGAGGAAGAGGAGGAGGAGGGGCTCAGTAATGCAGGAAGCTCTGGCTGGGCACACGCAAAGCTTGCTGTAATTGGGCAGCTTCTTGGGGTGGAGCCAGATCACATTCTGAGCACTGAGAAGCCCTGTGGATGGACACAGTTGCTCTCAAGCCCTCCCCAGCCTCCTGGCTGGCTCTGAGTTTCCCAGTCTCTTTCCCACAGAATCCAAGCATCGGCTGCCACCCAGAGCTGGTGTCTACAGAGATGCTCGAAAGGGTTCTTGTTTGTCTTCAGAGCCACAATGCAAGGGGGCTTCAAAGAGTGTGTGGGAAAAGTGGAAAGAATAGATAATGGATTTTCCCCCATGCACTTTTTGAAGTCCCTTTGTTCATGTGGCATGAGCCACGTCCAAGCCCAGCTCTGCCCCTTCCCAGCTCTGAGCTCCAGGGTCATTTGTTGTCACCCGAGTCTCAGGTTCTGTGCCTATGGAGTAGAGATGGGCCTGCCTACCACCTGTTTTTCTCCAGAGCCTCCAGGGCTTGTTTTGAAGTCAGAAATGATACCTGTGAAGTCCTGGCACTCGCTGGCATGCCGGCAACACTCAGTAAATGGTGACACTCATTAAAAATAGCAACAACGCGTAATGAAATGTGTACATATCCAGCAATAATCCCAACACGCACAAAGGCAGTGCGTCAGCCGGCTTTGCGTCTTCAGACCGCGGCCTGTGCAGAGCGCAGACTTGTGGGTGGGCTAAGGCAGGTAGAGAGCATGGTTCGCTCACTGGAAACTGGGAGTCAAGAGGGGGGTGGTGTGAGGGTGGGGGTGATGGCGGGGCATGACTCTAGAGACATGAGCTGTACTTGATCCTAAAATGGGAAGGGGATGGTCACGAGGAAGCAGACCAATCACCGGCCAGTGTGAGCTCCATCCTTTCTTTGTTACGACCTCTTCTTGACACTACACTCAGCAGTCACTAGCTCTGCTCGTTAGAGAAGTGGACATCTGCTCTCTGAGCTGCGGCGGTCGTAGTGCCCAGGCTTTTACAGTTAGGAAGGATCTGAGCTCCAACTTCTCTGGGTGCCAAGCCTAGATCCTCGCAAATAGATCCCTTCTCTCGAGAACGAGTGCAACTGATCCTTGCTTGCAGCCTGACGTTTCTAAACCGCAGCACCGTGGCATCTTGGGCCGGGTCGTTTTTGTTGTGGGGCTGTGCGCTGGGGGCTGTTCAGCAGCACTCTTGGCTCTTCACCACTCGATGCAAGTCGTACCTCCTCAACCCCCCACCTGTGACCTAATGGTGGCCCCGTGAGAGACAAGCACGTCTCCGGAGCAGCTCATGCGATGCAGCAGTGTTGTTCCATTAACACCACCATTTGTCTGGGACTTCTCAGGGTCATGCAGAAGGAGGGAAACGGTGCTGTTGGGAACATCTTGTGGGTGCTAGGTTCTCAGCTCAGCCCCTTGACTCATAGCATCTCATTTAATCCACAGTCGTCGTTTGAAGGAAAGGCATTGTCATCTCCATTTTATGCAGACGTGGGGGATCAGGGCTCAGGCAGCTTACTGACTGTGGCTGCCATTCTGAGCTTGGTTCTGACTCGTTTCTGCTTGCCTCCCCCGAAAGAGGACTCTGCCGTGCTTTGGTTTCCTTGTGATTGAAGCGTCTTTGTTCCCCAGCACGCCGCACCTTGCAGAGATCTGGGTGCTGGAAAAAAGCAAATGACAGGCTTGGAGCAGCGCCTGTGTACTCCTCACCCTGTCAGAGAAGGGAAGCGGCGGTGAAGCAGTTAGCTTTTCCCTGTCCTAATCGCAGCAGTTCCGCTAAAACAATCTCCTCTTTTTTTTTTTCCTTCCTTAAGCGAGTGCTGTGTGACACCTCTGTGAGGCTTTCCATCAGCCTTACAAATTGATCATTATGATTGTCTTGAAATGGAACTAGGTACAAGTTGCTAGTGGGGCCCCCTTTCCTTGCATGAAGACTGCTTCACAATGAACCATCCTCAGAGCAGCGAGCACAGAAGATTAGACATAATGGTTTATTTTCCTTCCAACATATGTTGATTTATGTGTTGGGGGATGGAGCTGAAGGAAGCATTTGAAGGAGAAGGGGGTCTTCTGCCTGGGGCACACGTTCGTTTTAGAGCCATGGTTCCTGATTGTCATGAGGCTGTGGGGCCCCCTGCCCCCTTAAAAATGCATTATGCTACAATGTACATGATAAGTTGTTGGGCATTTGGACCGCGTCTAAGTGTGCTGTCGAGGGACCTTACTACAGCTCCCACATGGTGCTTCGCGCACCCCACTGTCCACATCTGGAAGTTCTCTATCATCTCTGACAGACACACACGCAGTACCCCTTGGGCAGTAAGAATCCCGCAGTCCCTCCTCCTCACGGGCCCTGGGAACACTCGCAAACTTTCTTCTGTCTGCATTTGCAGAGAGGTATTTATTTCTAGGTATTTCAGATCTAGAGCATATAGTGGGATCTCACAATACTCTCTTGTGTGATGGACTTCACTTAACATATCACTGTACACCCCCCACCCCGGCCCCCTTGTTGTCTCATGCATGTAGGTCCCTTTTTGAAAATCTGATAGAAGTCTCCGAGTTCTCTCCCTTGAAAAATTCTCATATTCATAAAAGTTTACAGGTTATCACAAGGTGGGATGGATTCTTAGAGAGTTGTCGGTTAGATTTTAGACCCTAACCAAACCCATTATCATCTAATTGATTCCAACTCGTAGAGACCTTATTGGACAGACTAGAACTGCTCCGAGGGTCTCCAAGACTCAATCCTTACAGGAGCAGGATGCCACCCCTTTCTCCTGCGTTGCAGCTGGTGGATTGATGGCAGCTCAGCTCTTAACCCAGTGTGCCACCAGGCTCCTCAGGTATTAGGCAGAGAGTGATCAGCTCTTTTTGTGTCTAAACAACGAGACTTTCTAATCTGTTGGTATATTTTCACTAACTCAGCTCATTACCATCGGGTCGATGCTGACTCACGTGACTCTCTAGGGCAGGTTAGAGCGGTCCTTGTGAGTTTCTGAGGCTGTAACTCTTTAGAAAGCCTCACCTTTCTCCCACGGAGCTGCTGGTTTTGAACTGCGGACCTGGTGGTTTGAAGCCAAATGATTGGTCACACCCCGTGACCAGTAGTTATACTGCTGTGGATCCTGCAGGCAAGTAACCCGAATGGCCAACAGGGCAGTAGGCGCAGAGACGCACAACCAGATGTCAGTCATGCCACTCAGCCTTGTGCCTCTGAGAACTGGCTTTAATTGGACCAGGTGCCTGCCAGTTGGTTATCAGGAGCAATCCAGAGCCCGCCCTGTCACTCTGTATTGACTGCAGTGGAAGGCACGTGTGACTATTACAATGTAACTGAAGTGATAGTGATAGATGTTCAGTTTGTTGCTGTGCTAGCCCCACATTTCAAGTGTCCAGTAGCCACATGTGGTTGGTTCGCATATCCTATGTCAGCACAGATACAGAACATTTTCACCACCGAGAAGCTTCGGTTTGGGCAGTGTTCCTCAAGAGTTATGTGAGTTCTGGGATGCATTTTCATGGCCTCCTTTGAGGTCTGGGCGTCTGGTTCAATGCAAACTGCCTGCACATCTCAGCTCCAGTATCACTTTGTGAGTTCTGTGCATTTGTGAGCGGCTACCCCGTCCCTGTAGAGTTGGCTCCTAAACAGGTCCTTCTTTCCCACCTGTTGTTGACTGACTCGTCTTCTTCTCTCCCTACTGCCCTTCACTCCCACCTCCAGTATTACCTCCTTTATGATTAACACAAGGCATGACTTCTCTCTCTCCCTTCTGAAGTCTGGATTTCAGGACAGCAGGCCCTGGGAAGCCCCTCCCCTTTTCACTCAAGCCCCTTGAAGATAGTGTTGCAAACACAAAATTCTCGAGACTCCACCTAGTTACATCTTTAATAAAAAGCTTCAAATGCCCTAAATGCCCCCCAAGAGGATGAGTTAAAGTAAATGAGCACTCCCTGAAATTAGTCTTTTTTTTTTTTTTTAACATTTTAATAGGGATTCATACAATTGTTATCCCAATCCATACACACATCAATTGTGTAAAGCGCATTTGTACATCGTTTCTCAAAACATTTTCTCTCCGTTGAAACCCCCGACATTAGGTCCTCATTTTCCCCTCCCTTCCCGCTCCCCCCTCCCGCATGAGCCCCTGATAGTTTATAAATGGGTATTTTGTCATATCTTGCCCTGTCCGACGTCTCCCTTCATCCACTTTTCGGTTGTCTGTCCCCCAGGGAGGAGGTCACACACAGTTCCATGTAATCGGTTCCTATAGACACTCACAAGGATGCTAGCAAAGAAGTGCCAAATCGGCAGGGGAAGAGCCGAGTGAGGAGAGTGAAATTCACTATTGCATGTCTAGTTCTCTTTCAACCCTGTCAAAGTAGGTGCTTGGAAAAGATAGGAAATACAGTCTTCCACGTGGTCTATTGCTAGTGGGGGCATGATACATTTTGTCTAATACATATATATATTACATGTTAAGGCTTTAACATAAGTATGTATTGAATGACCAGCAAAAACCACAAGGACATTGAGATCAAAGGAAGACTTGCTGGGCTTTGAATCCTAAAGCACAACAAGGGCTGTGTTAGAATGTCCGATGTCTTATTTTCACCAAGTCCCAACATCCTGCAAGCTGAGCTCAGCCACATTCGGGCCCTGCGGAGGCAGCTGGAGCAGGAGGTGCTTTCCTATCGGACTCTGCAGAGGACCTTGGAGGAGCAGATCAAAGCAATCCGGAGGCGGGAAGGTACATACGCTCTTGGGTGGCCCTGACCGAGCTATAAGTGACCCCTCCATGACGAGGTGAGTGAGGCACCTGGCTCTTTGGCCCTCATAACACTCAACCAATCAGAACAAAGCAACTCACTGCCCTAGAGTCCGTTCTAACAGCCCAGAGTGGCCCAGCCTGGAAATCTTTACTGGCCCAGAAAGCCTCATCTTTCCCCCAAGGATGTCACACGTCTCACCGTGTGGTTCGCAGTCCAACGCGGAACCCACTATGCTGCCAGAGCTCCCCGGCCTTCGTAATGGAGACCAGCAAACAAACAAACAAATGATCCCCCAAGCTTTAAGAAACCAAACCCACTACTGTCAACTCGACTCCTAGCAGCACGCACTAGAGGACCGAGGCAAGCTGCCTCACAGGCTTTCCAAGGCTGTGAGTCTCTGACAGCGCACTGCCATCCCTTTCCCTGCAGAGTGGCGCCTGGGTTAGAATAGCTGACCCTTTCCCCACCAGGGCCCCTGGAGTTCCTCCCCGGACTAGAAAGGCCCAGTCAATTGTGTTTATTGTGCAGCAGGTCTGCCGCAGGGTTCCTTTCTTGCTGTCTGTATTAGTGCCTGCAGCTTTCGACGCTCCTAGCTCTCGGTGACCTCAAACCCCCAATCGCTGATAAGCAGTTCTCGTTGTCCACAGCATCTGAGCAGTGCCTACTGCAGCACCCACTGCCGAGAGCCAGCTCTGCAGACACACAGAGGACTGAGATGACTCTTTCCTGCCAAGATACTGCGGCTATTTAGTAGTGTCGTGACGGCAAGCGAGTTCATTTGGGGAGGGCTGTAGGGTGAGGGTCTGTGGTCCTTGCAGTGCAGTGGCATCACGGTGATACTCGGCTGTGCCCCTTGGTAGACCATGAATCCCTTCCAGCCTGGTTCTGTGTCTTACTCCTTTCTGGATCACAGTGGCAGGCCCTTTAATACCCTGTCTCTTCCCCTCCCAGTCATTTATGAGAGTAGGTATAACTCCATCTGACAGAGTCAGGGCTGGTTTGCCTAGGGTCCCACAGGTTTCTACCCAGTCTGCCTTTCAGGGAAGTCTATAGCTCCTCCCAGTACCTTGCATGGCTCATCAGGCAGATCAGTTCTTCCCAGCCCTGTCACATGAGGTAATGCCGGTCGACATGCCTTTCTCAGTAAATGCCCTGTCTCTCCTCTGCACCTTCTGTAAGCAACTGAACTTCTCTGCATAGGAAGCAGGCCCATCCTAAGGCTCCCGTTGTGCTACCTGTGTGCTGCCAAAGGGCCTCACATCTTGGATCAGCAGGCACTTTTTGCACTGGGTGTGTTTGCTCCCCATGTGGGCTCGAGCCCCCCCAGGCAAAATCCACCAGGCCCTTTTATTTTCCCAGAGTCCTACCTTTGAGGGTCACATCTGATTTCCTTGCCTTCGCGCTTCCTCGTTTAAAGTGAAATCACCGTTTGCCCATGCCACTCAGAAAGGTCGCCAGGCACAGCACTTGGTATGCAGATTAGAATTCAGAATCGGCCACATGCACGCCGACAGCCCAGGAGGAAGCTGTACATTGAGACAGCAGCCTGCAGAGAGAGAAGGAAAGGGGCTTTCGCCCCAACGGCGGTGCTAGAAACCCTCACCCTCCGTGTGTATTTATCCTGCTCCCCACTCAACGGACTCGAACGCCCCAATGGCGGTGCTAGAAACCCTCACCCTCCATGTGTATTTGTCCTGCTCCCACTCAACGGACTCGAAATGGATTGCACTAGGGTTGGCCCTGGAAGGAGCTGCGACTGATTCTCTCATACACCCCCTCCCCTGCTCTTTCTTTTGCAGAAGAAGCATTTTCATTTTATAGTGATCAAACATCTTATTTGAGCATTTGCCTTGAAGAGCACAGTCGGCTGCAAGTGGAGCACTTTTCTCAAGAAGAGCTAAAGAAAAAGGTATCGGCCTCATAACCTTTCGTGCTTCGTAGGTTCTTCATGGTCTCTCCGCTGATCAGAAGTAGAAGCAGATTCTAAAAGCCCTTTCTTCTCCCTGCCTTTCTGTCTTTTCTCCTGTTGATGTTCCTGGAAGCCCCCCCCCCGCCCCCCCCCCAGGTCTCACACACGCCTTTTCAGGCAAACCCCTATGATCTAGGAAAACCCCTAGGATCACCCTCCATGGAGACTTGGTCATCGTTCTCTCAGTCCCGGCACCTCCCTTCCTGTGGCCCTCCTGCTGCTGTCAAATGGAATCTGACGCACAGCCACCCCGTGGGATGGAGTGGAACTGCCCCGTGGGGTTGTCTAGGCTGTGAGCTCTCAGGGAGCAGCGGAGTGCTTAACCATTGTGCCACCTGAGTGCCTTCTGTTCTCCTAATGATCTGGAGCTGTCGGTTCCTCTTCTGGGCCCTTCCAGAGGCTGAGAACATCTTACAGTTGGCAATTGTGCTATATTCCTTTCTCTTTAAGGAATATGGGCTATATTCTTTCCAAGTACCTGGAACATATGATTGGAGTCAATAGATTAATTTTGAATGAATAAAGCCTTGGGTTTGATCAATACATTTCCCCTCCCTCCTGAAACCAGAAAGGTTTTATAATGTTTTGGTTAGAGTGGTTTCTAGGGTTCCAGGGTTCTCAGAGCCATGGGTAAGAGTAAGAAGTGTGAACTCAGAGGAGGCTGGGTTATTTATTGTAACATTAGCCTAGTGTGTGGCTGAGATTCCATTCTGTTGGGGGATATTTTAATTCTTTTAGAAGGAACAGGTAAACAAGCCATTGACCGCTCTATGGAATATGAGGAGGGTTACTGTAATAGGCAGGTGGGCATATAAGGCATCCAGGTAGCAGGGAAGGAGAGATGAACTGTGTTTGCAGGAGGGGTGGGGCTGGGTGTACCAGGCAGCACTGCTGCCCTTGGGGAAGTACTTGGATGGCACCACGTTCAGATTCACGGCTCTCAGTAACCCATGTTACAGATGAGCAAGCTGAGGCTTAGCTGGCATCCTGTTCAGTATCTCTCTGCTTGCAAGTGGTGGCTCTGGGATTGGGAGCATATAGGCATGCTGAGGCTCCCGCGTATCTGCGGTGCTGAAGAGTCCTCTGGAGTCAGCCTGCAACGAGGGCCATGGTCCTGGGAAGCCGGGGGCAGCTGCTGGGTCGCCAGGCCTCTGCGCTCTTCTTGCCTAGGTCAGCGACCTTGTCCAGCTGGTGAAGGAACTCTATACAGACAACCAGCACCTGAAGAAAACCATCTTTGAGCTCTCCTGTGTGAGCGTCCAGGGAAGTGACAGACTTGAGTCAGCAGACCAATTGGAGGTAAGAAGAAACATTCTTATTATATGCCAATTAGCACATTTCTCAAAACTGCATCTGCCCTTGGGGTGGGGGTGGGGGGCAGGGAGCTGCGGTGGTGGTGTCTCTCATCAAATCCCCTTTGCTGTTGGTAGGGTTTTGAGGGGTCTGTTAGGTCAGCAGGCCTGTCCACTGGCTTCCCCGGGTTGTGGGCCCCACCTGCATGGGTATATTCAGTATACTGGGATGCTTTTGGCTGCAAGTCCAGGCCTGGCTGAGGACTGTAGATGGCATATTAAGGTGAGTGGCTTGGTTTCACAGAGGCTTGGAGAGTTGTCACATCACCAGGAAGTTAGGGTGGGACGGATGCAGTCCTAATGATTTTGTTGACATTGGAAAACAGATTTGCAAGCACATGTTTTTCATTTGCTTTTTATTTTCTGGTCTGATTTTTGTGCATCTTCGTCTCAAACGAATGGCATCTTGACATCTGCATTTAACCAAGCATGTGGTGCCTTTCCATGCTTACCCAGCACAGAGGACAGGACAGCACGTAACGAGATCATGTCCCACCAACCCAAAAGTCCACCTTCCTGTCTATGGGAAATTTTCAGTTAGCCGGTGGCATTTGAAAGTCCCCCAAAGACTGTGAAAGGTTCAGTAGTGGCCACGGCGGCTGGGTGCTCTCTTCCTTTAACCCCGCCTGGGGGAAAGGGAACGGCAGCCGCACTCACCCAGATGGCATAGTATCTCTGATGCGTCCTGTCGGAGTTTCTCTGTTCTTGATTTGTGTCGCACAGCCGTTGTTGAGGCCGTTCCGACTCAGAGCCACCCTTTGTGTAACGGGGGAAGCACCCCCAGACCTGCCCCGTCCTCACAAATGCTCTGCGGGAGCCCACTGCTGTGTCAGTCCAACTCATTGAGGGATGGTACGGTCAGAGGGGCCGTAAGTAGTGGTAACGAGGAAAGGAGAAGGCATGCCGGTCTCTCTCCGCAGCCCTTTGCTTGGCCTCAGCCCTCTGGGAAGAGCCTCGGTCCGTGACTGTACTGGGTCAGATCTCCCCATAAAGGGCATTGGGCATTTTGGTACTTGCGTCTTCCTGGAATTTCTGGGTTAGGGTTATCCGGAACTTAACCTGGAGCCCCATGTAAGTGGCAGGCTCGGAGTTGTTGCATCATTGCTTGGGAAAGATTTGCCAGCCCTGCAGCTGTCTCCTCCTACCTTCAAAGTGGGCAGTGCTTGAAGGTATGTATGCTATGCTCTGGCCATCTGTTCTCTTTGAGAGAGGAAACATTATTGATCCTAGCCTCCAGGGCTCCAGATAATTTTGAAAAGCAAGAATATCTGCAACCCGTTTACAGAGAAAGCAGTCTTCTGGCTTGCTTCCTCCGAAGTGGCAATTTTAATAAGCAGATCTTTCTTCACTACTTCGTTTAAGTCTTAAATGGCGAGTTTTGTTTGTTCATTTGCCCTTTGAAAGAAATCTGTTAAATGTCCCATTATGTCCTCTGGAGAACAGAGGCTTTTTCCTCTTCCCACTCAAAAGACCTCAATACCAAGCGATTCAGATTTGAGTCATTTGTCAGATTGCACTTCAATTTCATGTTCCTTCTGAATAGCCGTGTCCTTTGTAGCACAGTTGCCCATTTTCCTCAAGTGCGTGATGGGGAGCTCTGCATGGCAAAGATGAGGCACCCACGGCAGTCTTGAGCTGAGCGTGGAGAGGGCATGAGGGTTGGGGGTGGGGTGGCAAGGAGGAGAGCCTGCCATTCCCGGGAGCCCCTGAAGCTGGGTTTGATCCTAAGCCAGGCAGCAACAGGCCAGAAATGGCGTCGGAGGTCCACAACATTTCCTGAGCAGCAGTGGGACGAGCAGAGTAGGGCCTGGTCCGGCTCCTGCTTCCTAGGATCCTGCAGTCCAAAGAAAGGGGCATGAACCCTGCAAGCATATGTCATGTTTTGAAAACTCGTTACTTTTCTCCAGTATTTAATGAGTCCACTATATGACATCTGGAAGACATTTAGGAAACAGAGATTACTCCTAATCCCATCCCTGTAAAACAGGCGGAGTGAATGAAGGTTTTGGAATACTTCCTTTTGTATATGAACATGTGCACGCATACACCTATATGAGAGGACGTCAAAACATCCATGGGAGAATACTGTATCTTTTAATTCTGTTTTTCCACAAACTTTGGGAAGCCCCCTTCATGCTGTCATACAGTTTTGTTTCCTGGGGTTTTTTGGTTTGTTTTGGTTTTTTTCCCCCCAGTTGCCTGAAAGCCAGAGCATCCTATTCCATTCATCTTGTGACTACATGGAAATTTAACTTACTTATTGTTGGACTGTGATTTCTGTGACTCACTATTTTAAACAACACAATGAGCATATTTGGACACACATTTTTCCGAGTTTAGAATCTTTTCTTTAGGCAATATTCATGAAATATAGGTATAAAATTGGTAAGAAACTTACACCTCTTGAAAGAAGATGTGTAACTATTTTGAAGGCCCTGGATATAGTTTGGCCATTTCTTTTCAAAATGGTCGTCCTGGTGCAGAGCCCCTTACCAGGTGGGAACACCTGTCCTTTCTCCCCGCACGATGAGTAGCATTTACAAACGACTCCAACACAAGTGTCTGGATGTCTTACTGTGCATTTGAAAAATCTTTCATGAGGTTATCTGTCTCCTTACATTTATTTGCTTGACATTAATGTATAGATTAGAGAATCATTTAATTGAGAGTTGGCACGTGTCCGTGATGGCAGCAGACTACGATCTTGGTACTGAGGTGTCTGCCAACTGTGCCTCAGTGACACATGGAAATGCTACCTCTAAGGCAGTGTTCTCAACCTCCCTAATGCCGCGA